GTATTGTGATATGTATTGATAATTGAAGAAATTATTTATTTAAGAATAAAGTTTGATGAAGAAGCATAAAATAAAATAAGTAGCTTGAGTACTTGTTTTCTGACATATGGGTGGACTCTCTTGGTAACTTACTCTCCGATGCTTGTACATATAAATATGAAGAAAAAAAAATCTACAATCATGGTATGTCATGCATGTACGTACCTGATTACCTTCTTTTTTCACTATATAATCTTGTTATAGTTAAGAAATCCTATAAAGCATAAATGTAAGTGATAAACATGCAAAAAGCTGCACCTGATATAACACCTATTGTATTATTCCATTATAATTAATAAATTGATTCGAATGAGAATAATAAGTGTTAAAAAAGATGGTTGTAAGGCATTATTCATTATCAGAAATCTGCAGGAAGGAGAGATGCATTATCTTGTACATCATTGTTATCATTATTAAAACATTAAAAAAAAAAAAGCATTTAGTAAAATTCTGAACACTATATCAATATGCTATATTATTGTACAATTGATTGATGATACTATTTACATACAATGCTTCAATATCAGTATATAAAAAGTTTACGAATTTGATAATTCGACTAAATATGCTAGTTATATCATGTTTGGATCTGGTATATTGAATACCAAACTCTGGTTATAATAAAACTAAAAAGGTAAGAATATTTAATTTTACTAGTTATTGTAAATTACATATTGATAGCAGCATATTATATTTATATAATGGTAATAATCTTTTTTTTTTGCAAAATTAATGGCTTCACAAAATTCGGAAACCATTTCTAATATGTTTAGTGCTAGTGAAAATGAACTACAGGAGTATATTGAAATAAGTAAATTTAGCCAATCACTTAATAACACAAAACACAAACACACGAGTGGTAAAAAGCAAGAAGATATTTGAAATTTTGTTAATAAAAGTACTAGTTTGGGCCATGGTCATTATAAAGCTAGTTGTAAATAGTGTCCCACTATGTGGGATAGAGGTTGACCAAATAAAATGCATTTGCATTTCGCTCGACAGTGTTTAAATGTTCCTGATGAAATTAAATATTTTTAAAGAAACTCTATTATTAAAGAAAAAACAACACAAAAAAAAACAAAAAATGATCAATCTGAAATTACAACTCATTTTCAAAAAGTTGAACCAATTCCTGAAGCACAAGCAGAATCCTTAAATAGAGTCATTTTAAAGGCTTGGATTATGTGTAATTTTGCATTTGAAACTATTGAAAATTCTTTTGTAATCGATTTGTTTCAATTTGCAATTCCTGGATATAAACTTCCATCATGGGATAAACTTTCTGGTCATTTTTTAGACCAAAAAGTTTTAAGAATTAATAAACGAATTGATAATGAATTAGAAAAAGAAAAAAATCTTACTTTATGTATATAATATAAATTTTTTTAAAATAATTAATAGGTTAAAATTTCTAAAAAATTTTTTAATACAATAGCTTTAGACAGATAGACATTACCTACTCACAATTCAATTTATAACATCATTATTACTACCCCTAAATGCAGAGAATATCTTATTAAACTTAAAGAATATAACAAAGTTAGTCAAACTGGAGAGTTTATAGCTGGTGAAATTTTAAACTTTATTGAAAAAAAAGGTGTTGAAAAGTTTGCGGCAATTGTTACAGATTCAGGATCAAATCTTCAAGTAGCTCATCAAATCATTCATGAAACTTACCCTTCTATATTAAATATTAGATATACTGCGCATGCAGTAAATTTTCTTGCATGTGATTTTACTAAATTAGATTTGGTTAAAGATATTGTTACTAAATGTGGTTTAATTTTAAATTTTTTTTATAATTCTCATATTGCTTATGAATATTATTTAGAGCAACTTCGTATTATAAAAATTAAGGGTAAAAAAATTAAAACATATAGCAAAACTCGATGGGGATCACTTTTTATGATAATTGACTCAATTGTTAAATCCAAGCCAGTTTTTGATTAGATAAGTATAATGATAATAGTTAATAATAAAGTGTCCAGGTACTGCAGTGGTAGAATCTGTGCAGAATTTATACAGATTTTGTAAGCAGAATAAAAAATTATTGGTGAATATGCCTATTGTGATGAAATTGGAATTTTTTTTGGAATTTCTTTTTGTCATAATTTTGTTTTTTAAAGTATTATTTATATGTCACCACAGAATTCGCAAATCTAATGACAATTGCAGCAGAATTTGTTAGTTAAGACAGCAGCCTCCTGAACACTCTAGTTAATAATATTTAACTTTAAATTTAATAATTAATAACAATTGATATAACTTATTTACAGATTCTAGAAAATCATTTATCAGCAATCTCTAATACTATGGTGTTCAATCTTCTTCAGAATAAAGATTTTTATATTAAATGCTGTCAGATTTCTGTTATTTTAAAACCTGTAAAAGAATTAACAAATTGTTTAGAAGCAAGAACAGCCAATTTAGCTGATGTTTTTATTGGTTTGGTTAAGTTAGCAGCAAGTATTAATCAAGTTGAAAATTCTAACCCATGGAAAAATAATATTATTACCGATTTTAATCAACGATTTGATGAACTTGTAAATTCTGTTACAATTCTTACATACTGGTTACATCCTTTATATAGAGGTATATATATATATATATAAATAAAGATTTTAACCAAGTTTTCTTGTTATTAATTAGATCCAAATATTTTTAGGTCATGGCTTAAAAAAAACAGCATTGGATAAAATTTATAAAACAGATGCATTAATTTGGAATAATTTACATTATTCAAAAGAATTATGTGAACAACTATTAACAGAAATGTAAAGTTGGAAAAGAAAAGCCAAACCTTATGATCTTACATATAATTCTGCATGTGAAACATCAATTAAGTAGTAGTTTAGCTTAAATACTGAGGATGATCAAGAGCAACTTTTACAATTAGCATTATGTCTATTCTCTGTTGTTCCCTCACAGGCTGTTTGCAAGAGAAATTTCTTAATGCTTAAATGGTTTTATGATAATAAGTGAACTCGACTTTGTCTTTCTCGGATAGAAGATATAGCAAAAATATACACTTATCATCTTTCAAATTTTGACAAAGAACTCCAATTCTATGGCAAAGATTTAAGTAATAAAGAGTTATATAAAAGTATTAATACGTTCATGATTACATATGATTTCTTAAAGTTTTAAATGAAAATACTAATGGGGTTAATAATTTGGATGATAACGATAATAGTAAAATCTTAGAAAGTTTAACATTAAATATCGTGGATTTTGTAAATTTAGCATTGCCAGAATTTTCAACAACTGGAGATACAATGTTTTTTTCAGAATCTGTTACAACTAATCAGGATAGAGATATAGGTAATATGAATTATGATACTATTGAGTTAGCACATCAAATGGCATTACAAGATGATGATTAAAAAATTTATTATACTTGTATTTTGGTTATTGTTATGTGTATAACAAATTAGTTTTTTTTACATGCTAATAAATACAATAATTAAACAGTATTTTTAAAATTTTTTAATAGTATGTTTTTTTAAGAATTGCATAATTTTGAACAAAAAAAATAGTAGAATATGTTATTACATCTGATAGGTTTTTATACTTATATAAGCATTTTTATTAATAATTACAGAAAGATAACATTAAATTGTATATGAAATTCACAGGTGCAAAGCATGCTAATGAAATATATAATATCAATAGTCATGATTACTATGGAATCAGAGTTGTAAAGTACAAGAGAAAGCATTTAAACAGTGTTATACTAGTAGATTATTTAAGTTTTTGTATCTAAGTGAATCAGGATCAAGAAGATTCTGAAAAGGTATTTGAATGGTTAATACAATTTGCAAGATGTATTATGTTAATAGTTAGTATTAACTAAACAGAGAAAACTAACATTAGCCATTTAGATAAGTTTGATTATATTAGTAAAATATTTAAACAGATCAAAGTTAAAAAGATGAACATAACATATTTGAATGATTTATAAAATCTGCAGAGATGGCTCATGTAGATAGAGTACATAATATTGGCATTTGTTATGAAGCTAAGAACAAAGATAATATGTGTTTAGTATAAGACTATATAGAATCAGAATTAAGTGTCTGCCAAGGCAGTTGATACTACAGATATATATAATGTTGGTTATTATTACAATAATTAAATCAGAGTGAAATATAAATTTAAGGTTTATATTTGCAAAGATGAATATGCTATTGAAACATATAATAAGCATTGGTTTAAATTAGGGATGTAATTCTGCTTAAACTGGTTAGTTTATACTTCAGAACCTAATTCTAAAACACAAAAATTGGGTTCCAAACTCTGTTTTAAAATTGGTTATGCATATGAATATTATGCTTTCCTAAACATATTAGTTTAAACCAGTTATATGTTTATTAGAATACATGTATAAACTCAATTTGCATAACAATAATTCATTTTGATTTAATTATATAATAAAATTAATTAAAAGTTACAGATCACGAAGCTTTTTACCCGTAAGATCAATTTCAAACTCGATTCGATTTTATTTCACATTATTAAATTCACATGATTAAAAAATTCATGTTCAACTAGTTCAGGTTTCGAACAGAGCTGAACAGAGTTCAAATAAGCAGGATCACATCCTTAGTTTAAATATAAATGCACTATTTTACTATTAAAATTATTTATTTTTATCGTTATTGTATATGATAATAATTAATGATAATTTATATAAATAATAACGATAAGAATTTGTTTACCAGCTTGGAAGTTGGAAAAAGAAATGTAATTTTCTGTATTGTAGATTTATATACCTTTCAATAAAATTATTTATTTTACTAATTTAAACAAAAGAAGGCATATATTATACGTATAAACTGTCAAAATTAAAATATAGTATATATATAATAATTAATTTTTGATATGTAATGCTTTTGTTTGTAATATAATATATAGTTGAAAAGAGGATAACATCAAACAGCATCATTAATGTAGATAATTAGTATGCATAAATTAAAAAAATATATGTATATATACATATTAACGATTAGTAAATTCCATTTTCACCAATTCCACCAATTTCACCAATTCACCAATTCACCAATTTTATCAATTTCATTAATTTCACTAATTTCATCAATTCACCAATTTTACTAATTTCACTATTTCATCAAATTTTTATTTTGGTGTAATTTTGGTGAAATTATTTCACCATTTCACCTAGTAAAATTAAACTATTTCACCAGCATCTCTAGTTATGAGGCATGTTTCAAATAATTGTTAATGTTGAAATTAGTTAATTGTAAGTTATGATCTTCAACTATGTTATACTTTAATAGTACTTGGTTTTAGATAAAGATCAATTAAATATAATAGTAGTCATGTTTTATATATTATTAGCTTTATGCATAAAAAACTCTTAGAGTTGGTATAGCCTCTATTAATTAATCAGTTAGGTTATTATATGACAGTATACTTTATATACTAATTTAATAACTATATATATATATATGTTGTACCCCAGATAGGAATCGTCCTGATTCAGAATCCGGCCGTCCCAATTCAGAATCGGGGTAGCCGGTTTTGGAATTCTTAAGCAGGTTATCCAGATTAAGAATCTGTATAATGATGATCAATATCTGTTGATTTATTATAGTTTACTATTCTGTAAAATAGATCAAGCAACAGGAGGAACCGTTGATATGTCACAAAATCATTACACAATTGATAAAATTTTTTTTTATATTATTTTACAATACTTTTTTGGAAGGCTCACTTGACTTATCTTTTCTATGAATATTGAAAATAGTTAAACAAACATGAAGCTCTCACTTTGCTTTACAACATATTTT